TGCTATGGTGAAGGCAACCCAAAAGGACCATGCTCATAATCGGGTCAAGTACATACCAAAATAGTTATGGACTTAGACAATAATCCAACACCTCTCTCTCTCTAACTCTTGGAATGAGTAAAATACCATCTTGCCCCTCCATGGTCTCCATTACTCATATTGGTTAAACCTTAAGTCAACATCAGCTAAACTTGAGTTAACAGTCCCAAATTGACCTGACTCGCCAAGTACTCCTAATGACTCGTTGAGTCCACCTGTTTTCACAGAAGTCTCGTGAAGGCCCAACTCAACTCATCGAGTTGACCTCCAACTCGTTGAGTTATCGCATGACTCAACTCTTCAGGACAAACCTTAACTAACTCGTCGAGTCGGCTCATCGACTCAGCTAGTTCATTCAGACCCAATGTTCATTCAGGCGATTTCAGCCAGATCTATCACTCCAATCACTAGATCTATCATCTCAAGGTTCAATAATCACATAAAGCTTCGATCTTTACGTTCATTCATGATGTTACAACTCCAAAATGTTAATACATTCTCTTCATGAGATGATTAAGTCCAACAACTCTCATATGGGGAATAAAGTTGCGACATCTAGACTCTAAGGACCTCACAAGGTCCAGATCTTAGGTCTAGACTTCTTGAGACTCATACTACTCAAAAATCTAAGCACAAAATGGCAAAAAGCCCTAAAACTCCATAGATATGAAATCTAACTACAAGGATGAGAAAAGGTATGGCTTATTACCTTCCAGAGAAGCTCCTTGAGAAGGAGATGCTAGATCCACAGCCTCACCTCGATCCTTGCTTGAATCATACTCTTCTCCTTTCAAAAGATCCACCAAATTACTTGATTTATCATAAGAACTCTCTCTCATGGATCCAATGGTGATCTAGGGTTTCTCACAGAGGGTATGAGGCGCATCTAGGGCCATAAATTCCCATAAATAGGCCCCAACTCCAGAAAACTTGGGGTTTTCTCCGCCCAGACCCTACTCGGCGAGTCAGCCTTTGGACTCGTCGAGTCCTCTCATTAAATCTACGTTATTAGCATGACGTGACTCGGCGAGTCAGACCTTCGACTCGTCGAGTCCCTCCCTAATCTTCAAAAATAAACCACAACTATCACACCTGAAATTCTGGATGTTACAAAAATAAAACAACACTATTGCTATTGTACTAAAAGATGGGAAAAAAACATTTCTTTAAAGTATCGTAGAGTAGCTATGATGTAGTTAGCAAGAAAATAAGTATAATCAATTATCCCTAATGCCCCAATATACAACCTTAAAAATAATCGAATACCCAAAAATAAAACTTGGTCGACAATCTTGACATTTGATTATATATTGTATCACATGACAATATATTTAAATGGACATACTACAGAATCCCAATAACATGATGCTTCTCAGAAACACCATAATGCAAAGAAAATTTTACATTCAGGGTACAAGTAGGCTGGACCAAGAATGTACAAGTAGAGCAGCACAAACTGAATCAGAACTTGAGATTTTCAAATACAATTCTGGTAAGGTAAAACATGTAAGACCTTACTTTGGAAGCTTTATCTATGAATCAGAGATGTCTTTATCAAAATCTAATAAGTTATAATAAACAACTTCATATTCATCATCATCTGCTTCTTCTTATTCAGCTTTAGATTCTTCATATATAGTAAATACACGATGAACTCATAATCTTACATACATATTGATTCATATAATATATTGATAAGTATTGATACATACTTACTAATACACATAATTTTTATACATTTTTAACACATTTGACATTGGAGAGGTGGTATCAAGAAACTAACCTGAAGTAATCGGCAGTGGAAGGTGGCATGTTGTGGTCTAGAAGTAACCGGCAACATGTGGTGGTCTAGAACTAACTGGATCGCAGCAACGAAGCAAAAAACCAGCGAAGAAGCGTTGTGATATTGGTTGCTCGCACCTAAATAAAAAAATGGCAGTGGAGATGGCGACGGTGTGAAGCGGATGTGATGGTGGTGTGTCGCAACAACGGTGGGTGTTGTAGGGTGCAATGTCGGTGGCTAGATGAAGTTTGGGTAGAATCGTCAGTGGCTAGATGATGTTTGGACGAGTTTTTGACCATAACAGGGTGATTGAAAAAATATTTACCATTTAAGTGTACTTTGGAAAATATTTACTATATTAGTATTTTTCTTTTCTTTTTTTTATTTTAAATATCCTATTTTCTCATTTTCTCTTTTATTTCACCTTTTTACTATTTTTTTTTAATCTTTTCTAAATAACAAATTTTTTTCAGTTTTTTTAACCTCTCCCCAAATACAATAAGGACACAATCCTGATACACACTCAAAGCACTCAAAGTATGGTCATCAACAATCTCAACCTCAAGCGAGGAACCCAGAGTCCCCGATGCATCCCGGAACTTCTTGCTAAGCGCAAGAGATATAAATGATCGGGTAGCACCCGAATCGTATAGAACGTGGGCCGACATACCATTAACCAAAAAGGTTCCTATACATGAGCACATATATACATATAAGCAATACAAATCAATATCAAGCAGGAATGATAAAGCACGTACAAACCATAACATTTGGCGCTACCCGAGCCTCCTCGGTAGTCAACTAAAATGCATGGCTCTTCACCGCTGCAACATCCGCCTTAGTAGGGCAGCCATCGGTAATCCTCATCGTGGCGGGCACAGGCGCCACCACCGCTCCTCCTCATCCCTACAACCTCAGATATTCATCGTTTTTATGGTCAGTCTGGTTGTAATGGAAACAGATCAGGCCCTTCTTGGGGCAATCCCTGCTCACGTGGCCCGACTGACCACATGTATAACATGTCGGGCCCGTCCCTCAACAAGCTCCACCATGAGATCTCCCACACTTGGAACACCGGCCACGTCCCTGTTGGCCCCTACTAGATGAATACGAGGTCGTAGGCTTTTTAGCCTGATCAACCACTATCTGGGCCTTCTCGAGTTTTCGCTTGGTGCGGAACTCCAACTCCATCTCCCGCTCACGGACCTTCTCTACTATCTCATTCAGGGTTTCACACCTTGTAAAGATCACAAAATCATGGATATCATCCCTCAGCATGGAATGATACCTCATCCTCCTCATGTCCTCATAGGTAGCATACTGAGGGATCAACAATGCCTGCTCCTGAAACTTGGCGGTGATCTCTGCCACAATCTCGGTGGTCTGCTGGAGCTCCTGAAACTCCCTTACCAACCACCGCACCTCAATAGATGGTGCAAACTCCAACTCAAAGTGTCTGAAAAAATCTGCCCATGTCATCTCAGCCACACCGACTGCTCCCACCTGGCTAGTCACCCCCTGCCAATCTTGGGTTCGATTCCTCAACATACATGAAGCAAAGCCCACCTTTTCCGCATCAGGGAAAGAACTCGTGCATTGGTCATCCTCTATATTCGCCACCCAGCATCGGCTAACTATAGGGTCCCTGACCCCGAAGAACTGCGGCGCCCCGTAAGCCTTGAAATCCCGGAACGATGGAGTTCGGGCCCTGACCTGACCCGCAACAATCTCGACTCTGAATGCCTTGAGCCTCTCCTCCATGATTTCCATCATACCTTCCTTGACCATCCTAAAAATCACTAGGGTAGCATCAAGGATACCTCTCGTAACCTCAGTTGCAATAAGCTAGCGCAACCTCTCATCAATGGGCTTGGTAGTGTCACCTGACCCAGATCCCCCTGCTCCAAACCATGTCACCACCATACCGTACTGCAATACCACAAAATATAATGATCAGGATGTCCAAATAGGGGATCCTACCATATCGGTTCTCCTTAGAGTTTCCAGATCTAACGTTGGTTCAGGTACAGGTCCTATGCTTTCAGTAGTACGGGCCCAATACTACCTTCCACACCTACCTATACCTTCACCAAAGCTCTACTTGATAACACCAATTTATCCCAGAACAAATCATATCTCACAGGCTACGACTTAGCTCATATCCTAGGCTTACCTAAGATTTCCTCCATCCATATCAAACCAGAACTCAATCATAACAGGTTGCCTTATGCATGGAAATTATACATAGAACAAGATCAAATAGACTTTCGAATAACAATCTCTACCCCAAGACCACAACTAGACAAGTAACAGGAAATAAGGTTAAATCAATCATTTTGCGGCTAACATACACATAGCAAGGTTCATACAATTTGGAAAGAATACACATAGAAATTGGAAATAAGGCCAAATCACTACTAGAAAAAAGGCCTTTTACGACGCTCATTGCGCGTCGTAAAAGGCTCAGACGACGCGCAAATGCGCGTCAAGGAAGGCCATGTCATAAAGATAGACGACGCGCATTTACGACGCTCCCTTATGATACGCAATGCGCGTCAAGGAAGGCCATGTCATAAGTATAGATGACGTGCGGATGCGCGTCGTCTAGAGACGACGCGCCCTTATGATACGCATTGCGTGTCAAGGAAGGCCATGTCATAAAGGAAGATGACGCTCAAATGCGCGTCGTCTGTAGACGACGCGCGCTTATGATACGCATTGCGTGTCAAGGAAGGCCATGTCATAAAGGAAGATGACGCTCAAATGCGCGTCGTTTGTAGACGACGCGCACTTATGATACGCAATGCGTGTCAAGGAAGGCCATGTCATAAAGAAAGACGACGCTCATTCGCATGTCCTAACCTTACGTCTCTCGTTTTTACTACGCGCCTTTACGACGTGCATTTAAAACACACATTTACAACGTGAATACACATAATAAATGACAAATATACCAAAACATTCATTTTCATCTAATTGTCAAACAACTTTACATATATGTTGAATTACCTAAGTTGTAACTACATGTTACCTTAAGTAACATTACTAAAAGTTAGCAAAAAATTGTACATGTGTCTCAAAAGACTACCTAGCATTACACATGTCAAAAGACCATACCTAGCATTAGTGGTTAACCATAACATTGTTTTGCGGATACATTGTCAAAAGATCATACATATCATCGATAAATGAAGCCTGTAACAAACGTTGACCATTCTTCACGTATCTCATCGATATCAGCAGTTGTGTACTCAACTTTGCCATCCCCGATCTGTGAAAACATTTGCATATTGTTTTTATTAATAAAAAATAGCATATTAACATATTCTGTAATAGTAAGTTGATATATTTAACAACTAAGCATAAAATGTAAATTATTCTTTCTTAATAGAGCATTGTACTTTCAAATGAATGAAAGCACATATTCTGTAACAGTAAGGATGCCATGAATTATAGTAATGAAAGTAGAATGCTATATCCTTACATTGTCTTTGACCAACACTTCAATTCCTTCTTCCACTATCTCCTTCATGAACCTTAGCATGTAGTAGCCACATTCGGTAGATCCGGGCTGAACTGGACACTACACAATTACATATAAAATGATCATTTCAATTGATCCAAAAAATAAAGTTAAAACTACAATTTCAATAACGAATTAAGTGCTGACCGTAACATTAACCCAATTTAGTTTAACCCTTTTGTTGGATCCACTTTGTGTAGTGTACAGAACCATCGCCCTATAAAAAAACATTAACAAATATGTGTTTATTGTACTCACATCAAGTGTTTTGATAATTTATATTACTTACGAATCAACAATTTGCTTTAACTGCATATTGAAATTGGCAGAGCTCAAGGAATCAAGATAATAGCAAGTATCCGATTTCATGTCTAGTACACCCAATACCCAATGTCTTCTACAAAAACCACAAAAAAAATGTCAAATAACATAATTGCAGTCATTTTAAAAATAAAATGTCAAATAACAATACCCGGGATTGTAGGGCATAAAGATGATGTCATTGCCCTTTCTTTTAGACAACCGATCTGCTAAACCTCTGCTTGCATCGTCAATATTCTTAGATTTCCCTTTACGCGTACTTGGTGAGATTACTGCCGGGTTCACAAAGCAAATTCCATGGTCTTTTTCTGGGGAGCCATACTTCAATTTGTTAAACAACACCCTGTTATCATACAAACACTAAATTCATTAAAACATTTTTTTTAAGACACATTGTTATTTAAATTAAATTTCTTGCACTTACATCATATAAGACACAATAACAGCACCGGTCAGCTCATCCATTGTAAGAACTGCTTCAAAATCATCCCAAGTTAAGTACGTGTAACTATCGTACCCAAAAAGATCATTCTCACTCTGCACTCTTATAGAATCAACCTTTGTAACTTGTCCATCAGCCATCATTGCAGTCATTTTCAAAATACTACTGTTCTCAATCCTTATCCTTGTCTTCATCTGTGCTCTGGTCCACCTTCTTTGCACGGTCACATTTTGTTTCTCCTTTTTAATCTTCTTTTCTATTCCAATCAGTACTTCTTCCACATCATTCCCTTCTTCCACATCATTCCCTCCTTCCATATCACATGGTTGTTTTTCTCCATCAACCATTTTTCCTGTCCCCTTTTCTTTCTTATTACTTCCTATTTCTTCTTTTGGAGGTGTTGCATCTTCCTTCACTGGTGTTACATCTTCATTCACTGGTGTTGCAGCTTTCTTCACTGGTGTTGCATGCTTTTTCACAGATTTCGCCACCACTTTTCCCTACAAATGCAATCAAAAATACAAATAGTATTACCAGAAAAATTAAGAACTCACTCAAATATCAGAAAAATTAAGATAACCAAGGGAAAATATGTTCAAATAGTATTACCAGGTCAGAGCATCGAATAACTAAGTGTCTTGGCCAACTTAGTATGTGTCCCAGTGCATCTTTGACCTTCACAATGAACTCCTCTTCAAGTGGAAAGGGTACTAAAGCTTCTCCTTGCAAAATTGTTTCAATCATAACTTCAATGTTTTCATCTGTTACATAAACATAAAAAATAATTAAGATCCAATCTTCTAAAAAATGAAAATATATAAATAATAATAATGCAAATATATTTCAAAATACCCGATGCTTTCATTATGGTTCCTTTAGCAACTACATTTGCAGCAAATTCAACCGCAAGAAGACATGAATTATCCTGAAAAATATAGTATGTTAGTTTGTAGAAAAACAAAATTATTTAAATATATTTTTCATAATTGTCTTCAAGGACTTACAAGTGATTCATTATGTGGTTGTTTTTCAAAATCTTCAATGACGCCCCCTATTTGGCAACTTGCAGCTTCAGAAACATTAAGTACACCTCTTTTTAGTTTCTCCAATTCATCTTCAAGTTTGTTGATCCGTTTATCCACCCTCTCGTTCTCAATCTCCAAGTAATACTTAACATTCTTGGGTAAATAAAAGTATTGTTGTGGCGTTATAAATCTACCCATCCCTCGTACACGCCCACGTTGTTCCTGAGTACCCAACGCCTCTGTAAGCACATCATGTGTTCCACATGTAACCTCTCCAAAGCTTCCCGATTTCTGAAGCTCATCCTGTAAAATAAAATGGGACAAATGTTAGAAAAATAAAATGGGACAAATGTTATTTTTTTATATATTTGGGAATTAATGAAACTTACAATTTTATCAACAATCGTCTTCACATCTGCATCGTATCCTCCTGTCTTCAACTCTCTTGCCTTTTTCCACAGCAGTGTCCTATCAATCTCCTCTTCCGTCTTGCCGGTTTCTTGCATCTAAATTATCAAGAATAACAAAGTCAATTAACATATATATATACAAATAAAATAATCAATATTCAGTGGGAATCATACAATGTCATTAATGAGTCCAGCATATCCTTTTCTGCTCAAACGATGATTGTATTTATGATGTGCACGAGTATTTTTAGCTTTCATACTTTTCTCCTGCATTAGAAACATTAAAATTATAAATACAAACATTAAAATTGTAACTACAAATGCATATAATAAAAGTTTAACAAACCTCCCACTTCTTTGTAACTCTATGGGATACAAAAACTTTCCAATCTTCTTTCTTTATAAACGGATAATCTTTCGGAGGTTTGAATAGATTTGCCTTGGTATCTTTACTTCGGTTCTTAATGAACTTGGCATATAGATAATGCTTGAAGTTTCTCCACTTCTTCCCGATCGATTGGAGAATTTGCTTCCGACTCTTTGGGTCAACTACAAACTTTTCCTGAAACATAAAAAAAGGTTGGTTCAAAAACAAATCTGAACAGGGACAAAAACAGGGACAAAAACAGATCTGAACAAAGGTAATAACAGGAAGAAAACAGAGACTTACCAAAACATATTGCCATAATCCTTCCCTTACTTCCTCACTAACTTCCAGCCACGAGTCATAGGTTATGGGAACCATTGTTCTTGCAACCAAACCCTCAAAAGTAGACAGTTTTGTGGCTTCCTTTCCAACCGGGACACCTTTTTTATTGTAAGTTATTACAAGCTTCACTTTATTAGCTTTTGTCTTTGTTGTCGGACCTCTTTGTTTGGACTCCTCATCGTGATCAGAAGCTGAATCTGATTCCATGTCACAAAAACACAACCTGTTTCAACAAGATTGAAATTAAATTAAGTACGTTGTTATTTGTTGCAGTTGGACATTGATTAATCACATTCAAAATCTGAAATAAAAACATACCAAAAACTTTATTGTTCTGCAAAAAAAATATTTACACTAATATGCCCTCGCCATCCGGACGCGTACACAAAAAATCATCATCAAGGTCTAATAAAGCGGAATCTTGTGCTAAATCAAAAGTAACATCAAATTCCAGCATATCATCAGTTTCACCATTTGATCCATACTTGTACATCCTATGAGGTGTGAATCCAACAACATGCAAATTCTCATCTTGTTGATCTTGAACATAAAAAACTTGTTTGACTTGACTAGCTAATACGAAGGGTTCAGACTTTTGATCAAGCCTATCAAAGTTAACTACCGTGAATCCTAAATCATCCTTTTTTACTCCACGACTATCAACCCAATCACACATGAATACAGGAATACTAAACATGTGATAATTAAGATCCCATATCTCCTTTATACGGCCGAAGTAAGTAACAGCACCATACACAGGATTGGAGTCTTTTGCACTAGCAATCTGCATAGTATGTGCAACTAAAGACACTCCACTGCATTGAGTTGTTCTAGACTCATCACGAGATGTTGTATGAAAATGATATTCATTTATGGCAAAACCGCTATATTTAGTAACAGCAAAATTAGGCCCTTTGGCCAACCAACGAACATCATCACAAATATCTTCCCCGTTAGCCAAACGTTTTCCAACCTAATAGAAAAATATATAATTAATGTAATTCAAAAAAATAATTAAAAATATTGTAATTCTAACAATCTTATTTTAAAAAAAACCTCTTTCTTAAACCAACTAATAAATGTCCGACTATGTTGGCTCTGCAACCATGTACTCTTGCGAGCATGACGGGGGTTCAGATCCTTCAACTCCAACATATGTTGCCTGAAGTGTATTACAAGTTAAAAGAATGTTTTATATGATAGATAATGGTATAAGAGTATACAGTTTCATGTAATTCTTACTCTATATACGGCTCCACAACAGCAGTGTTTCGTAATACATAAAGATGAGCTTGATCAAGTAACTGAGCATCTACAGCATCAATTGTAGCCTTTGATAAAGGCTTGCCACTGCGGATTCTTTCATCAACACGCTCATGAGGATTGCCAATTGATTTCTTGTTTTTTAAGTAGTCTGAACAAAATTCTAAGGCCTCCTCTGCCACATAACACTCTGCAATGCAACCCTCGGGTCGATGATGATTTCTTACATACCCTTTAAGTGTTTTCATGTATCTCTCAAATGGATACATCCACCTAAAATGAACCGGGCCACACAACCTCACCTCTCTAACTAAATGCACCATCAAGTGAGTCATGACATCGAAAAATGTGTAACACTGAATTTTTCAAACAAAATTTTTGATTTTTATAAAAGCATAATTCCATCAATATTCATAGAAACAACCCCTTTTTAAGTGTTCAACATTATATTACAAAATCCCAAGATCAAAATGTCAAGCTCCAAACGTGTGTGTACGGATCAAGCCGGCGCCTTCCCACGGTCGTCACTAGTACCTGAAACAAATAACATCAACACTGTAAGCACAAGGCTTAGTGAGTTCCCAAAATACTACATATAACACATATTAGCCACTCAAGGCTATAACTCTGTGGGTCCGTGCACCCAAACTCTGTGAACCCTCAGGTTCTAACTCTGTGAACCTTCCGGTTCTAGCTCTGTAAACATGTACAGCATCAAACACATAAAAGTAATGCAGTACAACACATAACATACATGGCATACAAATACTCTAACACATAACTCTAGTTACCTACTCAAGGTAAAGTATAGTGAGAAGACTCACCTCGTGTGTCTCGTAAACCGTAACCCTGAAATCACTAAACACTCGATCCGCCGAGCTGAAGTCCCCCTATAGCACAATATATCTCTAATTAACACTTTCTCAACTAGGGTTGACCATACCATAACAGGACAATCTAGGTCAACGCTGGTCAACGGTCAACTCTGACCGGACTCGGCGAGTGCACTATGGCGACTCGGCGAGTCTGAGCGCAATCACCAATTTCCCTGAAACCCTCTCTTGACACGTCGAGCATCCCTTCCCCAACTCGACGAGCTCCACCTGGCACGAGTTGTGGGGCCACCACGACTCAACTCGCCGAGTCTCAAGAACGACTCGGCGAGTCCGGTTTGACTCGGTCCACCTGTCCATCCTGACTCCCCCCTTGACCCACTGAGTTCACTCATCCCAACTCGGCGAGGCCACTCGCTGAGTGGTCGTGCAACATTCAAGCTACTCGCCGAGTCTGTTCTTCGGACTCGGCGAGTCCGTGCCATGCACTGACTCAATCTTACTCAAAAGGCCAGATCCAGTCCACTAATCCATAGATCCAGTCCCCCCATGCTTATTTAGCACGTAAAGTCACAATCTTGGTGCATAAATATCCTCTACATGACCACAAATGATGATTTTGACTCTATTACTTCAACACAAGGCCAAGGACTCCATTTTCACCCATAAAGCTTGATGAGTGAGGCCCTCTGGACCTCTATGGATCCAGATCCATGGTCTCAACTCAAAGAGGGAATGAAAAGGGCACCAAATCACCCCAAAAATGATCATATTAAGCCCTAACTTGCATCAAGTTCATCAAACAGGAAATGGTCCGAAAATAATACCTCTAGAGTGATGATCCAAGCTCCAAATCCACGAAATAGCAACCTCCTTTGCTTCCTCTTGCCTAGAGCCTCCTTCTTCTTGCTAAACAACACTCACAAGGTCAAGATTTGCTCTCAATCCTTCACCAACGCTCAAGAACTCTAGGGACACACTCTGGGGGTTGGATGAGCGCAAATGACGGCCATAAGGCCCTTTAAATAGGCCACAAACCCGGAGATTTAGGGTTTCACTACACAGCGCAGACTCGCCGAGTCCATACCTTGGACTCGCCGAGTCCAAGCGCGCACCTTCGCTCAATCCCGCGTCTCTACTCGGTGAGTCTGAGCCCCGACTCGCCGAGTCCCTCTTACAAAATAACATAATTAAACTTTCATTATACCTGGTAAAAATCCGGATGTTACAAAATGAAGGAGGAAAGTACTTCTCTAACAAACATAATGTTAATACGATGTCACTTTGCAACTTGCCTAGCTTACTAACATCAACAACTTTACTACACAACTCATTGAAAAAATGACACAGGCTTAGGATTGTTCTCCGCACCTTCACATCTAACACCCCTTTGATTGCAAATGGAAGAAGTTGTTGCATTAGTACATGGCAATCATTAGACTTCAAACCATTCATCTTTGAAACATCATCCGACACGAGATTCTTGAAATTAGAGCAATACCCATAAGGAACTTTTATGTTAGACAGGGTTTCATAAAATAGATGTTTCTCTGCGGAATTCAATGTGTACTTGGCAGGCGGAAGCCAATGTCGATCCCCTTTTGGTTCAGGTCGTAATTCAGTCTTGATGCCCAACGCTTCAAGATCTTGCCGTGCTTTTAATCCATCCTTCGTCTTGTGAGGCAAATTCAACGCTGTCCCATAAACACTCTCGGTCACATTTTTTTCTATGTGCATGAGATCTAACTGATGGCGAACAGGCAACTTCTTCCAATATTCAAGTTCAAAAAAAATCGACTTCTTATGCCAAAATTTAGATCTCTCGTCGATACTTTCTTTTTTCTTCTTTGTCTTTTCCTTCTTTGGCGTTTCCTTCTTTGACGCTCCCTTCCTTGACTTTATCTTCTTTAACTTTATCTTCTTTGATCCTACCTTCTTTGGCTTTATCTTCTTACCCCATGTAGTCTCAAATCCCGCCAGATAGTCATAAATCTCTTCACCTGATGATGGTTGTGGCATAAAATCGTGCTCCTGTTGATTGTTGAAATGTTTTTTTCTTTTGCGAAAAGGATGTTCAAGTGGTAGGAATCTTCTATGCCCAAGGAAGCATACTTTTTTGGACTTTGGCAGCCATTGTGAACAAGTATTCTTTGAACATATTGGACAAGCATAATAACCTTTGGTAACACAACCCGAAAGATTACCATACGCGGGAAAATCACTTATAGTCCAAAGTAATATTGCTCTTAAATTGAAGTATTCTTTCTTATGAGAATCAAAAGTCTCAACGCCAGTTTCCCACAAGAGCTTTAGATCTTCTATCAATGGTGCCAAGTAGACATCAATATTGTTACCAGGTTGGTTTGGCCCGGATATCAACAGAGTCAACATCATGAATTTTCTTGACATACACAAATAAGGGGGTAGATTATATGTTATTAGGATAACCGGCCAACAACTATGCTTGGAACTTAATGACTTGTGTGGATTGATACCATCAGCAGACAAGGCTAATCTAAGATTTCGTTTTTCCTGTCCGAATTCTTTCCACGTGTTATCAACAAGCTTCCAAGAAGGGGTATCGCGAGGATGAGTAAGCTTCCCACTATTGACCCGACCTTGTGCATGCCAAGTTAAGTCATGTGCAATTTGTGGTATTGAAAACATTCTTCTAAATCTAGGAATGATAGGAAAATACCACAAAACTTTTGAAGGTACGTTTTTGGAATTCTTCTTCCAACGAGAAGTGCCACAAGTTGGACATTGAGAAGCATCTTTATGTTCTTTCCAGAATAGAACACAATCATTTTCACATGCATGAATCTTCTCATATTGTAGACCTACTGCTTTTAGCAACTTCTTGGACTCATATATCGAGCTAGGGATGGTATTGTTTGATGGTAAGATATCTTTTAGGACAGACAACAAAGCATCAAAACTAGCATCAGACCATCCAAATTGACCCTTCAAATGTTGGAATTTCAATAATCCACTAAGTGCATTATACTTCGACCCTACATAAAGTGGCTTATCACACTCTTCAAGAAGTGATTTCAACGAATCAGGTTCATCGTCTACGTATTTGAAGGCATCATGAAGCATATCCTTTGTATAAATAGCATCAGGAGGAATGGAATTGTTAGGGCATCTAGAATCACTATTGGGTTGTTTTTCTCCATGGAAAGACCAAATCTTATAATTCTCATCGAAGCCGTGGGCAAACAAATGATAACGGACATTGTCAATTGAGTGGTGACACAAATTGATGCAATTTACACAAGGGCATGGAATAACATCTAACTTTGGATTATTAGTTTGTGCAAACTCTAGAAAAGCATTCACACCTTCATCATATGCATTTGATAATCTACTAGAGGATATCCATGATTTATCCATT